GCCTTGGTCTCCGTTTCCTGTTGGGTTGTTTAAAGAAGTGTCCCTTTAGTTGTCCCCACCTCCCTTTGTCCCTTGGATCCAGCGTCCTTTGGCACACACACAGTTCAGCTCTGCCCGTCGGGTGGGGGCTTCCTTTCCTCCTCCTCCCTCCGAGGGGCTGTGAGCTGGCCCACGGGCGTCACCTGCCACCAACTCTCCCCCTCTGGCCTTCCTTACACCCAGGTCACGTGACATGCAAAGGTGGACGCGTTTTATTCTGGAAACGGCCCAGTGGGCCCTCCTAGTCCCCGCCCGGACGGGTGGCCTGGCTTCTTGTACTCTCCTGGACTTCCTGGGGGGGACAGTCCCCCTTCCACTGGGGCCACAAATTACTTAAATTTAATGAAAAGAGAAACTTTAAGAATGGAGGCCGAGGCTCAAGGGCAGGAGCCGCGTGGCTGACCCACGGAACACAGCCCCCAGGGGCTTCCCAGCCAGAGGGGCGGCGGGGACGTGGGATCTGGGCCTGCGGGAACCCCAGAGGTCCAAGGTCCCAGGGCGCCGTGGGGACCCAGCTCACCTGTGCCCTTTCCTCGCAGCCCCCGACCCTGCCTCTACCCTTGAGGCCCGAGCTGGAGGCCCACCAGTACCAGGTGTGTGGGGACCCAGACAACTAGGTTGGGACGGTCCTCCCTCTGCCCACCCCCCAGCTCCCCGGGGTGCCCTGGGCAAGCCCTCTCCCCTCCTGGGCCTGGAGTCCCCTCCTCTGCAGAACGGAGCCATGTCCTGGGACTTTCATGGGCAGAACAAGGCCCAGAGAGGGATAAAGGATTGCCCGGAGTCACACAGCGGGTCAGGATGCCAGTTGAGACCATTCCTGGGCCTGAGTCTCAGTCCCTCTCATCCCCTCCTGTGTGTCCTGTGTCCCAGTCTCCCTCTGAGTGACAGTCTGCATACCACTGTGTATGTCTGCCTCTGTCCTGGGCTCCCTCCCTCCGTCTCTCTCTCTGTCTCTCTCTCCACCTCTGTCCCTCCCACCTCCTTTCCCAGCTCCCCTCACCCTCGTCCTCCCTGTCCCCCCAGGACCTTCTGCACCCCGACTCCTCCCCTTACTGCCAGCTCGTGCCCAAGTCCTGAGCGAGGGGAGGGGACAAGGACTGGGCCACCCTCTGGGGACCTGGCACAGACGTCGAGGCCTGGCAGGATGGGCCCCCAGCACTGGACAGGAGGAGTCGGCCCCAGACCCTGCACCCACCCCAGGCCCCTGGGAGGACCAGGCAGGTCCCCACCTGCCAGAAACTGAACAGAGACTCCTGCTGCTGGAGGCCCGGGGCAGGGGAGAGAGAAACACAATAAATAACTGAATGCCATGTGTCTCATGGTGACCAGTGACAGGGAAGCAGAGAGGGGAGGGGGTCGGGAGTATTGGGGGCGCTGAGATTGCTGGGCAGGGAAGGCAGGGAAGGCCCCACTGAGAAGGCAACAAGCAAAAATATGAAGGAGGGAAGGGAGGGAGCCACGTCGGGTTCTAGAGGGAGAGCATTGCAGACACCCACGAAGGCTCAACAGCAGCAGGGAGGCCAGGCCGGTGTGCTAGAGGCAGAGAGGGAGGCAGGCAGATCACCCAGGGCCGTGTGAGATGGCTGCAGCTAGCTTTTGCCCTGGGGGTGACCGGGGAGACTATATCAGCTAAATAACGGTCCCCAAAGCCCCCTACATCCTCGCATGGCAAAGACTCGCGGTGAAATTCCAGACGCAGAGCTGGGGTGAGGTCCCGAGTGCCCCAGGCAATGTGGGACCACAGAAGCAAAGACTGGGGGCGAGTGGCCGCAGGCACTGGGACACTGTGGCAGGGCCACTACCCAGGCAGGGTCTGGGTCACAGTGACTGATGAGAGAGACCCCGCGGGCCATTGAGAGCTCTCAAGATGACGGGACTGTGAGTCGGAGAGTGGCAGAAGCTTCTAGAAACCGAAAAAGGCAAGAGGGCGGATTCTCTCCCGGAGCCTCGGGAAAGGACGCCGACAGCTGAGCGGTACCCAGCAAGACCCATTTTGGGGTCCGATCTCCAGAACTGTAAGATAAAAAATTGGGGGTGACTTTAAGCCACCAAGTGTGTGGCCTTGAGACACAGGACCAGGAAGAATTCCCAGTGGGAATGTGGACACCAGGCCTGGGCTCTGACCTCTTCCCATGGGCCAGCAGGTCAGCCAGAGGCCAGGCTGAGGGCTGGGGCGTGGCCGCAGCTCTCTTGGACCTGGACGGGGCCCTGCGGCCTCCCCCTGGGCAGCAGCTGCTCACCAAGCTCCCCACCCACCCCTCCCTTCCTCTAGGTCCTCCCCAGGCACATGGTACTGGCCAGAAAAACCACATTTCCCAGGTGCCCTTGCAGCTAGGCTTGGTCATGTGACCAACTTCGGGCCAATGGGGTGTGAGCAGAAGCCACCCCAGCCATGCAGGACTCCTGCCCTAGAGAGTCCCCCTTCACCTGTGCCTCTGGCTCCAGAAGACGTGGGGGAGGGAGCCCTGGGGGGTCAGTGGCTGAGACAAAGCCCCAAGGGAAGGCAGGGCCCAGTTAGAGCTGAGACCCGTGGACAGAGCAGGGGGCAAGGTCAGAGGGGTCAGCTGCCCTGATGCTCAGCTCCTTCCGAAGCCTGATCCAGGAGCCCACTCCAAGACGCAGCATCTTCTAGGGTAGATTCTCTGATCCGGGCAGCGTATCTGTCAGCCCACCTGATACGGGCTCTGCGTGGACTGAATTGTGACCCCCAGATCCCTAGGCTGAAGGCCCACGTATTTGGAGAGCCTCTTCGGAGGTCGTGAAGTTACAGGACCTAGTGTGGGTCCTGGCTCAGTAGCTGTAGGGTCCTCATAGGACAAGGGAGAATGTCCAGGCATGGGTGCCCACGGGGTGCCCACGGGGCCTGGGCCAGCTGAGGACACCAGGAGGGAGTGGCCCTGTGCGAGCAGGGAGAGGGGCCTGGGGGAGCCACACCTGCTGAGCCTCGACCTTGGACTTCCAGCTCCAACCTGCAAAGAAAGTTTAAGCCACCAGGTCTCCAGTTCCTTGTTAGAGCCACCCCAGCAGGTCAAACAGGCCCCTTCCACCGCTGTGCAGGCAGGTGGGATCCCTTCCCTCATCACAACAAAAGCAGATTTAAATGTAATAGCCAGGGACAGTGGCCCACGCCTGTAATCCCAGCGACTCAGGAGGCTGGGCCAGGAGGATCACAAATTTGAGGCCAGCCTTGGCAACGCAAAGAGACCCTGTTTCAAAATAAAATTAAAGTTTCTGGGGATTATAGCTCAATAGTAGAGCACCCCTGGGTTCAATCCCCAATTCCACACACGCACACTAAAGCTTTTTTAAAAAGGAGAGGTGGACGGACAGACAGAGGAGATGGAACTTGGGAGGCCAGTCTCGAGCCCATTTCGGCCTGCTGGAAGGCAGGAGCAGCTGGGAGCCCAGGTTGGGTGTGGGAGTGGAGACCAGGAGCCTTGCAACCTGGCACGATGTCACTCAAGAAGTATCACCTTGTCCCTGGTTGGGTTTTGCGCTCACTGAGCGGGTCCTCATTGCCACACAGAGGTATGACATCTGTCCAGGCTGCGCCAGCAGGGGGCAGCAGAGGACCGCCCAGACCTACAGGCCACAAGGTGCCTGGCCCCTCCCTCGGCCCTCCTGGGTACCCAGAGGGCCCACCCAGGTCCGAGGCCCAAAGCATGGGCGCCTCACTCACTCACTTGGGCTGTGGCAGGCACGCCCACGGCTCCTGAACTTGGCCTTCCCTGTTCCTACAGCCCAGCCCTGAGCCAGGCAGCCTCTCTCCCCTGTCTGCCCAGCCTCCTCCTGGTCTCTTCCCACCACAAGGCACCCCAAGGGTCTTTTAAAAACCCAGCTGGACCCTGCCCGTCCCTGCGTAGAACTATCCACAGCTCCCTATCCCCCCACGGTCCAGGGTCACAGCCTGCAGCGCCCTGAGGTCTGCGTTCCAGGGGCCTGTCCACCTCTTGGTCAGCCCTCCTTGCCCCTCGCCCCCACTCTGTGGTCATGGGCTGGAGGAACGGACCTTTTTCTGGACTCAGAACTCTCTGCTCCATCTCAGACCCTCGCACGCTCTTCCCGCTGCGCGCAGCTTGCTCCCAGGTCACAGCTTGATAATGGCCCTCAGCAACAGCTTCCCTCCCTCTGCCCCTCGCAGCTCAGGTCTCAGTCCACGCCTCCTCCTCCACCAGGCAGCCCTGACTCCCGGGCTGGGTGGGTCCCCTGCGTCCATCCACCTAGCCCTGCCTCTTCTGCTCATCCCCGGGGCGCGTCAGCCTGAGCACCCGACCTGAGCCCTGGGAGGCAGCTCTCCACCGCGGAGGCCCCGGCACCAGGGCTCAGAACCCACGGGGTGCCGGGTGCCCACTCTACACAACCTGCCCCCGACCTGGTGGCCTCCGTTCCTTCCCTGAGAGAGGTGCATGGAGCAGCTACTGTGCCCCAAAGTCTGTTGCATGAACTTGACAGGGCACGGGGGACACGAGCAAGCAGCTCCGCCTCTCAGGGAGCTCAGTCCAGTGGAAGAGGTGGCCTGGAGCTCAGTGTAATAAGACTAAGCAGGATGATCGCGTATTGAGCACTTATTATACGCCCTGCCTGTGCCGAATGCTTTCCACTTGTTGCCGATTACCCCCATTTCACAGATGAGGAAACCAGGGTGCAGAACAGCGAGGTCTCCATGAACGAGCTGGGAACAGAACCCAAACCTCCAGCAGGAGGTGACAGCCTGGTCAGAGCCCCGTCCCCCGAGCGCCGGCTCTGTCCACCCGCGGTCGCCCGCCAGGGGTCGCTGTGGCCCCACCGCCGCTCCTCCGCGGCTGCCGCCCGGTTCTCAGGGCTCCCCGGGTTCTCAGCGCGCGGCTCCGCGTGTGCAAACGAGGAAGTGGCCGTGGGGAAGGAAACGGGCTGGGCTGTGACCCAGGGCCATTATGATTCATGGGGAAAACCCTTCTCTTCCGAATTCAACGCCTTTGTGTGCAAAAGGGCTTGTGCAACCGGCGGGGAGCAGAGTCAGCGGTGTAGACTGGCGAGCAGAAGTGTGGACGCCCCCTCATCGGCCCAGCCCAACTGACCCGCGGCCCAGGGTCGTCTGCAGCGGATGCGGGGGATGGAGGTGGGGGCAGGGGACGCGCCGCTTTGGGGCCAGGGATGTCGCCCAGTGGGCGCTGCCCCCCAGCACAGGGAGGCCCTGGGTGCCATCCCCGGCCCCGGGACACAGACGTGCAGAGAGGCGGCGCGTCCCGCTTAAGAGGCTCAGGAGGCTGAGGCAGGAGGATCGCTCAGCCTCAGCAAAAGCGAGGCCCTAAGCAACTCAGCGAGACCCCGTCTCTAAATAAAATATTAAAAAGGGCTGGGGGTGGGGCTCGGGGGTTAAGCGCCCCGGGTTCCATCCCACCCCCACCCAAATCGGGGCCTCTCTGATATCCCATAACTGTAGACACCACTGAAATGCGGACGCCGGGCGCGACGAGGTCAGGCAGCCTCCATTGCATTTTCACATTTTGGGTGAAATGATGGCCCCGTGTGTCCCGGTTTTTATTTGCTCTCCAGGGGACCCGGGCCTGGCGCATGCGTGCTGGGGGCCCTCTCTGCCACCTGAGCTGAGCTGCACCCCAGCCCTGGGAGGCTTTTTCCCCAAGGAGTCCAAATCTTTAAAGAAACCGGCTGAAGGGGCCATGAATAAAATGACACGATGCAGCCCCCCTCTCCCTCCCCACAGGTCCCCGTCTGTGGAGTCACCCAACCAGGAATCAAAAATATCCAGGGGAGGAAAAGAAAAAGTCGCGTCTGTAGTGAATAAGCCCAGACACTCTTCTTGTCATCATTCCCTAAACGAGGCGGAGGGACTACTGGGCGCACCCACGGCCCAGGCTGCTCAGGTTGTTGGATCCTAGAGGGGCCCTGGACACT